ATGAAGTGGTCAAGGAGAATAAGATACGTCTCAGTAAATAGCCACAAAGTGCTTAAATGTCATCTCTGCAAAATAGCACCATATTATTTGCGGAAGTAGCAGAAAGTGTGGATGCAGCTGAAGGGTTGGTGTGTGAATATTAATCAGCCAACTGACCGCGTGGCGAAAAGCAGCTTCAAGAATAATTTTCAAAAGAGATGTTGATATAGAGTTAACGGGGAGGTGTGCAATGGTTATGGGTCAGGTGCGCGGGATTAATTTGTGAATTGATTCAGTCTGTGTATTCAGGAGAGAGATTGGCTCTTTGTATGCAGCGCGGTGCTGGGGTTGCAGCAATTAACTGGCCCCTGTGGTTCACATCTCACTGCCAATCACTGAAGATCGGGTGGGACATTTTCATACGGAGGGAAACTACACACGAATGAACCCAACACGATTGGACGGATTAGCGAAACGGAGAAAATGAGAATTTAAGGGAGAGTTAGATCGAGATAATTTGAGAAGATTTCAGGAAGACTGAGCAATGTGAGCGTGAGAAGCTATGACAAAAAAAGAGATGAAGTCAGTGAGCGGGATTGTGCTTTAGCGAAACAAGATAATTCGAGCGGCGTGGTGGGTCAGGAAGGTTTTTGGATGAGGTGGGGAGGTGGTTTGAGGGATGGGATCGGTAGAGGGTTTGACATCATCTCAGGCGGCGGGTTTGTCATAAGGAGATTTTAAGTGTTGGAACAGAGAGGGAATTAGTGAACGAGGAAAAGAGTGAAACAAAACGACGTCGATATGTTTTTGCGATTTATAAAATGGGTGGTAATCACTGCGGTTCAATGTCGTAAGCTCTGATCGTGCCGTTAATCTCACACGTACTTTCTCTAAAGTCTCCACTTAAATAAAACCAATCGAGTTTTCACTCACCTCCAGTCCGCTGGAAAGTTTCACAAGGTCCAAGGGCTTGGTTTTCAATGAGAACCTCTGACTTAGTGTAGGGGAAAGGGTCCGCCCTGAGAGGAGAAAACAGTCCCAGTTACATTCAGTCCCTCAAAATGACATACTCGAGGATCACAGAGAACTAATTGCACAAAACTAAAATCTGGAGTCAGCTGAAACTTAGGATTTCGTGCAGTTTGCTCAGAGTCTCCGTGTTGAGAACTTGCTGTAACTGCAGCCTCTCACAGCCCAGACTCACGGTTCCGGGCACCAAGACCAGCACCGTCCAAAATCTCCAAATACTCGCCAGAGCCATGCTGCACCGAGCTAGGGGGAAAACTCTGATCGGAAGAATCTGATCACGACTGGATCTGGTTTTAACACCCAAACGGCTCCTTTGCAATTGAATTAAATTGGGGGCGTCGCAATGCAGCTGCTTGTCAAGCCAAAGCGATTTCCTTCAGTGTCGAGTCCTGTGTGAGTGTCTGTGTATATCTGTGTGTGTGATAGAGCGAGGTTGGCCTGAGCTCGGAGCTGTCACTGCCTGAGCTGCCGGTGTATATAGGAGGAGGGACTGGCGAGGTGTGGGCATGACATTCGAAAAGTGAAACCTGGTTGTGAAAGTTTTGAACAAGCTACAAGAGAGCAAGAAAAAGTCTGGGTGCTGGCTGTGTGAGGGAAGGAATCTGAAAGCTGGAGATTCCTGAAGCAGGGAGTGGACTTCCCTGATAGAAAACCACAGCCAGAGGTCGAGGCAAGCTCATAGGTCCGAGAATTTCTCCCGATATTATTGACATCATTTTTGGGAGCTTGGCTATTCTTCCAAGTTGAACGGATGCATTGATATTGTTGGAACAATTGGTTTGATGGTTGAATTATATTTCTTTCATTAAAATCATAAACAACACTAAATCTACTTGTGAACAGGATAAATCGTTTCTTGACGTTCTCGCCTCTCTGTAACTTTTAAGAAAATGAACCACAGCTTCGTCGTTCAAGGTCTCTCCGCTCCACGGACCGAGCTGGCTGGGACTGCATTCCCTTGTTCCGATTCTGATCAACCTCATTTTAGCCTCAGAAGACCCTTAATCACATCTCTTCACTCCCCAACCTGCTCAACCACTGTCACGCTCAGGGGCCCCCAATGACCCGTCCTTGACCCCATGTCACTTATCTACATGCTGATCCCTGAGGGAGCAAATTAAAAAATGCAGCCTCAGATTCCACGCGTGGTGAGGACTCACAGCCCACTCTCAGTAGCTCTCTTAACTCGCGAATAGATCTACATTATCACTCTGCAAATTCATCACCCATAACTAACATTTCCGATAATTACACATCGAGAAGATTGCAGCAAAAGTTTTTATTTTCACAAACAGAAAATCGCTCCTTGTCACTCAATGCAATCAAACCTCCTTTTCCGCTCTCAAGCACTTCCTTCTGACACAGACCCAGACTATTTGAAACTGGACATTTATCTTAGATCCCAAGGTGAAATTTTGATGCATAGCTCAACCATCGTCATCCTCCGAATTGGAATAAAAAATGTCATATTTAAGCTTCTTCCTGTCCCGACCAGTCCCCATCCACTGACACCCTCATCTGCCTAGCTGAACTCGTTCTCGCCTTTAACAACTTCTCCTTCAATTCCTCCCACTTCCTACAGACAAAGGGGGTGGCCATGGGTACCCGCATGGGCCCAAGCTATGCCTGTCTCTTTGTAGGATACATGGAACAATCCCTCTTCCGTAGCTACACTGGCCCTATCCCCCACCTCTTCCTCCGTTACATCGATGACTGTATCGGCACAGCCCCATGCTCCCACGAGGACCTCGAACAGTTCATCCACTTCACGAACACCTTCCACCCCAACCTTAAGTTTACCTGGACCATCTCTAATACCTCTCTCTCCTTCCTGGACCTCTCTGTTTCCATCTCTGGCAACCACCTGGAAACCGATATCCATTTCAAGCCTACCGACTCCCACAGCTACCTAGAATACACCTCCTCCCACCCACCTTCCTGCAAAAATGCCATCCCCTATTCCCAATTCCTTCGCCTCAGCCGCATCTGCTCCCGAGATGAGGCATTCCACTCCCGGACATCCCAGATGTCCTCGTTTTTCAAGGACTGCAACTCCCCCTCCACAGTGGTCAAAAACGCCCTCCACAGCATGTTCGCGTTTCCCGCCACCCATCCCTCACACCCCCTCCCCGCAATAACAATAAAAACAGAATCCCCCTCGTCCTCACGTACCACCCCACCAACCTCCGGATCCAACGCATCATCCTCCGCCATTTCCGCCACCTGCAATCTGACCCCACTACCAAAGACATTTTTCCCTCCCCACCCTTATCTGCTTTCCGGAGGGACCACTCTCTCCGTGACTCCCTTGTCCGCTCCACACTCCCCTCCAGCCCCGCCACACCCGGCACTTTTCCCTGCAACCGCAGGAAGTGCTACACCTGCCCCTACACTTTTCCCCTCACTCCCATCCCAGGCCCCAAGAAAACCTTCCACATCAAACAGATGTTCACCTGCACATCTGCTATTGTGGTATACTGTATCCGCTGTTCCAGGTGTGGCCTCCTCTACATCGGGGAAACCAAGCGGAGGCTTGTAGACCGCTTTGTGGAACACCTACGCTCGGTTCGTGACAAACAACTGCACCTCCCAGTCGCGAACCACTTCAACTCCGCCCCCCACTCCTTGGACGACATGTCCATCCTGGGCCTCCTGCAGTGCCACAACGATGCCACCCGAAGGTTGCAGGAACAGCAACTCATATTTCGCTTGGGAACCCTGCAGCCCAATGGTATCAATGTGGACTTCACAAGCTTCAAAATCCCCCTATCCCCGACCGCATCCCAAAGCCAGCCCAGCTCGTCCCCGCCTCCCGAACCTGTCCGTCCTTTCACCCACCTATCCACACCTCCCACCTAAACCCCCACACCCACCTCCTACCTACCAGCCTCATCCCCACTTCCTTGACCTGTCTGTCTCCTCGCCACCTATCTGCTCCTTGATCTATCTTCCATCCGCCTCCACCTCTCTGTTTATTTCAGAATCCATTTCCCCTCTCCCATTTCTGAAGAAGAGTCCAGACCCGAAACGTCAGCTTTCCTGCTCCTCTGATGCTGCTGTGTTCATCCAGGTCCATACCTTGTTATCTCATATTTAAGAATTGCCTCCAGTTCCAGATTCCTCGAAAACATAACCATTCATCTTCGCCTCTCCCCTGTCATGGGCAAGTGCAGGGAGTAAGGCCACGGCTCTGATGCTGCTCCTCCATTCGGGCGTACTCCCAAGCACCTTTACCCTACCTCTGACATGGACCAGAACACAGTTACCTGGACACCCCATTCCCGTTTCGGGGCCCCAATGGACACCACTGTCCCCGAGTGTCGTGAAACCCCTCACTCATTTCAGACAAGACCCCTTCCTCCACTTCTAACCTCCAGGGGATACAAACCGCGCCTTGACCAACAATTGCTCGTGAAACAATTTCAGGCATTATTCTGGTAAAACCTCTCCGTCATGTTTCCATTTCATTTTCTACCCTTTCTTACAGAAGGTCCGCACTACTCGAGAAGCGGCCTCACCGGATCCCAGTACAGAGGAAGCAACCGCACTACTTGGGTATTCTGATATGTTTTCATTTGTAAATCAACAATTGATGAATCACGTATAAGAACAGTCAATATAGATCAGCTCAAACTCACCATTTCATGCAGTTTGCTCAGAGTCTCCGTGTTGAGAACTTGCTGTAACTGCAGCCTCTCACAACCCAGACTCAGGCTGCCGGACACCAAGACCAGCACCGTCCAAAATCTCCAAATCGTCGCCAGAGCCATGTTGCACCGAGCCAGAAGGTAGCACCGAGGTGGAAGATGAGAAAGCGGTCAGTGTGCAGTCGGAGCGGATTGTGATCCGGGAGCGGCCGCCTGTGCTGCCGAGGGCTGTGAGTGTGAGCCTGGGCTCTGCTGGTTGCTCTCACCGGCACTGCCATGCTGGCGGTTTTAAAGGGGCACATTACATTCCAAAAGTGAAAACAGCTCCCAGGAATTTTGGAGGACCTGGATCAGGAGTGTATGCCGTTTCTTTCTGAGGTAAGGAATCGAAAAGCTGGAGATTCCAGAAGCAACGGCTGGAAAATCCCGGGTCGAAAATCGCAACCAGCACTCGATTTGCAGCTGAATGTTGAGTGTGTTCAGATCATCGGGCACTGAGCTGGTGCAGGGCGGGGCTCTGTAGTTGGGTGGTGGGATTGGGGGGTATGGGGATATGTCCTGGGGGCTAGATGTCCTCATCCGGATTGTAGAGACCCCGATTGCAGGAATCCCCGGTGTGTTAACACGGCGCTAGTCCCGTTCCCATTTCCCAGGTTGGAGATGACAGGGAGCCCGGATCACAGGCCTGGATCACCGGCTGCTGGCGACTTTCTCCGCTCACATTCACCTGGCCCAGAGTCCGCTCCCTCACTGGAGCAGGGTTCTTATTTCCCGCTCGGACTCTGGAGCCGTTTTCAGGATCCGTGTGAAATCCTCAGGATCTGATCCGACTCCGAAAGTGATCCCGTTCCCTTTCCTTTCATCGCTTCTGTCTGCTCTCTCTCTCCCGGGAATGTGTCCATGTCGGTTTCTCTCTGGAAATGAACCTCGTGTCAATTTTCTCAAAAGCGAAAGTGCCTCAGGGAAAGTGACGCGTTTTGTCATTTCCGAAAGGCAGGGGAGTTTGTAAACACAGCGGGTCAGACTGGGAGGGGAAAGGATAAGGAACATGTGGGAAAGTGTTTGCGATATCCCGCGATATGCCGGTTAAGTGGGAAATTGTCTCCAAATCATTTTCACTTAGAAGTACAATCCACACCTACAGAGCGGACATTATACTTTAAATGCATTGAAATGTTCATTTTGACAATTAAATGTTGTTGTTTTTAATTCGGAACAGAATCTGTTTTCCTCAAAAGCAGAAATTTTTGGCTGGTTTTAAATTGTTTACCACGACACTTCAGACAACACCGGTCCATTTTAAGTTTTATTTGAGGCGGAGCGGCAATAATTTGACGGTTACAAAATACATTGCAACTGCTTTCATACATGGATATTGCTGTCCTCACACCCAAACTGACCAGTTAAATTTTGGCGCATTTTCGATGACCAGCAAATATTTGCAAAGGCGATGCGTGCATACTGAATTCGGTCACTTTGCATGCGAGGCCAGAATTCACATACAGGAGGAGCTACATTTATATAACGCCGTTCATGGACAAATAACTGACTAAGGCACTGTCAAAAAATACAGAAATATTTTTGAAAACTTTTCAGTTCAAACGCAGGATATATGTTCAGCAATTTGCGCTTAGCAAGCACCCACGAGGCGGAATGCAGTAAGGAGCAGATAACTTGGTTTTATTCATTTGATTGGGAGTCAGAGAACAACTTAGCTGAAGGGACACATTATATTGCTAATGTCATGAAAGAAGGTCGAAAAACAATTTGTGAGGAGGATATACAGAGCATCCAAAGAGTAATCAATAGGTTAAAGCAGTTGGCAGCTTTATGCAGGTGGAGCTTATTGTGGGAAAATGTGAGGTTGTCTATATCGCTGAGAAGAATTGTCACCACATCCGCAATAATTAATTCCCTCCACCACTGTCAACTGGTGGAAGCAATGTACACTACCTACAAGATGCGCTGCAGAAATTCAACAAATACCTAAAGACAACACCTTGTAAACCCAAAGCACTGCCATCAAAAAAGATGGAAGCAGATAAATGGAACACTGCCGGCAGCATTTTCCCCAGCCAGCCACTCGCCGTCCTGTCTCGGAATTATATTGGCATTGTTTCATTCTCATTGGTTCAAAATCCTGGGGATCTCTCCCCAGCAGCATTGTGAATCAACCCCTACATGGACTGCAGCAGTACAAAATTCCTAAACTCCACCACCTTCTGAAAGGCGACTGGGGAAAACGAATAAATGTTAGTCCAGCTAGCAATACATCTGTCACAGGACTGAATAAGAAAATGAAAAATTAAGTAGAATGTTGCACGTTACTGTGAGAAGGAAGCTGTCGAAAGCTCGGGCAGTATTTCTACCACTGCATCCGAATCATATGCAACCAGACCGGCTAAACAGGACATGCCATCATCAGATACAGCTCAGAGTTGATTCCCGAATGATAGTGTTGGCTGATGTGAAAATGTTTAGGAACCTGGCCATACATTTATTGCAGCTGTGCAGAATGAGGTAGTGAACTTCTGAAATAGTTAAAGATCTGAGAAGACCTGAGTGAATAATTGTTATGAAGACATTTTTGCCTTTGTGGAACCTACAAGTAAGGCCAGTAGTTTAATATGAACAGTTGCCCCTTCAGATGGAGGGGAGGATTTTTATTACTTCACAGAATTGTTAATCACCAAATTTCTCCACTCAAGACAAAAGTGGTGGCGTTGGATATATTCAAGGCCAAGGGGGAGGGAATTTTGATCAACAAGCAAATTAGAAGTTTTGTATAGTTCCTAAAATCAAACAAAGAACTCAGCTGGTGGAAATTTGAAGCTAAACGCAGGAATATTTGGAGAAAATCAGCAGTCTTGCAACAAGTGTGGTGAGGAAGCAGAATTAACATGTTTAGTCTAGCGACTGTAATTCAGAACTGATGTCAAAACGTTCACTCGGAGTTCGCTCCACCGGTGCTGCCATACCTCATGGGTTTCTCCAGAAATTTCTGTTTCCCTCAAGGTTATTAGAGTGTGAGCTGCAAATTCCAGCCAAGGCCACAATCTGATAAAACTGTAACAGAAAAATGCTGATGCTTGAGGTCTTAAGCGGCCTATCTCTGAGCATCTTTTTGCATGCTTATGTGATGAAGTATTTGGTAAGAAATCAGATTATCACCATGTAAGCCAAGATTCTGTGAGTTGGAATCACATTTTTCACTCATTCACTTCCTTAATGCTGAGCGATGTCATTCTCAGCCAAATCTCTGCTTTCCCTACCGGTACTCAATGGCTGGTACTCTCAGCATTCAGCGTTCGCAGGTCACGTCAACTCACCAATTCCATCAGTCCCTCCCTGCAACCAGGTTTTCCCTTTCCTGCTCAGCATCCAAAACTCAGTCCACTTTTGCTGCTGAACCAAAATACAAAGTTCAGTGGAAGAAGTGTAAAAGATGGAAAATTAGACAAGAGGAATCAATTAAAATTGGATTTCTGGGTCTGAGGATTGAGGAAAAAACAATTGTGCAAAATGGAGATTGCTGATGAGGAGGAGCAAGAGTAACAGGCTGAAGACAGAAATATCCACAGCATTTATACTCATTGTACAAAGATTAAATGACAAGAAACATAATGTCAGTTCAATAAATGTGTCATATTATTAAAACCAATTCAATTATATCAATGACCTCTTATTCAGTGTAAAAAATCCCAGTTGTAAAAATAGTGTACTCCACAATAAATAGCAATAATTTAACAATAAATTAAGTTACTTAACATTCCGTATAAAACTGTAGCATTTCAATAAGTTAAGACATCATGTCAATAAATAGGAATAATTTGGAATAACTGAGATGGGTTGCAAGCTTGGCAAATAGGTGACAACGTCAATGTGTCTCAGACATCCCAGAAATGTAAGCCCATGTCTTTGTAAGTCTGACATCTCAAAACAGACTCCGCACACACAATGAAACTTCAACATTGCAACAGGAGAAAATAACACAACAATAAATAAGTGAATTAAATTGAATAGTCCGAACAACACTCTCATTGTTACAAAGGTACATAACATTTCTTGCAAACATAAATATATATTTTCAATGGAAAGTTTTTGTATTAAATATTCATTGTCCTGGTCTGTAGCAGTTATGCTCTCTTCAGTTTCTTCTGCTGACTTATGCCATAATGGAACACAACTGTTGTAAACGGGCTCTGGTCTCAGCACGGATTATTTCCCAGGAACAGTCACTGAATTTCTGAAAAGGTAAAATATTCAAGAAAATGCATTTGAGAAAGGATAGAGTTAAATGTTGGCCAACGAATTGCATGTTAGGAATTACACAGTTAGTTATCAATTGTCATACCTCATGTTTGAGGAACTTTTCCAGTTTCCTGAAGTAATGTTGAATGGCAACATTTCTCTTCATTTTATAGTCAGCCCCTGATTTTCTCATGCAGTCTTGCAACTCTCTGAGCTGTTGATCCAGGAGAAGAAGAAAGTTTTCCACCTTGTCCCAGGCCTATGTCACTGAACCCAGATTCACGCTGTATAATTTGTTGATGAGGTGCAGGGTTTGATGGATTATCTGAATTCTATGCTGAGCCTGAACAAAGCACACAAGATTTGTAAAGTGGAATTTATTCCCATTCATTTTAGGCTTTCATGAGATTAAATAAATTTCGAGGAATTCAATTCTTTCATTCGATGTTTTCAAAAAATGTGCGCAGGGGCTCTGATACATCAAAAAGGATATGCCCAACTGGAGTTATTTGCAACTCAGAATTTTCGAAGTTATATTGAAACCCAAACGATTCTGTACGTTTAACATTCAGTTCTTCGCATAGCAAGGGTACAGGCTCAATCAAGTGGGAGAACGAACTAACTAAATGAGGATTGATTAGTGCATAACACAAAAAGGAAGCTAAACATGTTTTTAATAAGTATTAGTACAAGGAAAACCGGTTGATAAGGCAGCAAATTACATAGTTTCCTCTGCGATATTGAGGGCATGAGTGAATAATGAAGCTGTGAGCTAAATTTACCTAACTTAGAAAGCAAAGGTATCAAATGTGACAGGAAAGTAGAGGTTGATGACAAATTGAGGAGAGAATAAACTGACAAGGAGATCTTAATCAGATATTGAGAGCAAATGGAAGTCTCAGTCACCTGCTCTGTGTTGCACTCGTCTGAGGGTGCTGTTGCAAAGGAGAAAATTAAATAGTGCAAAATGGTGCTCAAGGGAGACAGAAACATCATGGCATTGTTCTATATCGCACTTCCCGTGCACTGAAGCATGTTGTTTATTCTGGATTTGGCTGTTAACAAGGAAAGATCAGAGACAATAAAAAGACATAGTGAGACTTGGGAACAGAAGCCCAGATGCTTTGACTCAGACAGGAGGAACTGGACTGTATGCTGAGTGAGAAAGGTACAGTTTCAGCAGGCAAATTGACTCTCGGTGACAGTCCTGCTGAGTGATCTTTGCGGCAACTCAAAAGTAACTCAGTGCACAATGGTGAAGTAAATACACTTCAGAGAAATGGGGCAAAACATTGAAGTAGGAGAGACAATTCGTGACAACGCTAAAACCAGACAAAGAATACTCGCGTGGAGTAAAGACATAGCATGTAATGGTTACCCTGAATGGGCTGTACCTGTCTCATGCATCATAGCTAAGTGATTTGCTGAGCTCTGAAATGGGAAAGCACATCAATCTGTTCATGTTCCAGGCAGCAATGATCTCACGCCATCAATGGCGAATGAACAAAATCCCATGAAGTGGTCAAGTAGAATAAAATGTGTCTCAGTAAATTGCCAAAGTGCATAAATGTCATCTCTGCAAATTAGCATCATATTTTTTGCTAAACTAGCAGAAAGTGTTGATGCAGCTGAAGGGTTGGTGTGTGAATATAAATCAGCCAATTGTGTGTATCTGAATGTGCTGAATGTATTTGAAGTGTGCATTTGAATGCGTGGGGAAAGCAGCTCCATGAATAGTTTTCAAAAGAGTTGTGGATATTGAGTAAAAGGGGAA